GGGGGGGGGGGAGCCACCTTTGCCCCAGGGCCAGGGGCGTGAGCTCCCGGGAGGGGGTGGGGCGGTGGGGTGGGTAGTCTGAGCTGCTCTGACAGATGCCTGGACGTACCTCGGCGCCTGCTGCCGTGGGGCGCCACTTTGTCCTCGGATTCAGGGGGGAGCTTCCCGGGTGCCTTCTCCTTCCTGGGCTTCCCCGTGGACGCGGACGCCCATCCTTTGTCCGATTCCATGATGTCGGCTGGAGAAAGGGGGCAGTTACAGCTGTCAGGTGCTTCAGCAGGGGACCCGGGCACCTCCTGCCCCAGACTCCCAGGCTGTACAATGGGGGTCGTGCCCTGTCCTACCGACACCCCGGCTGCTGGGAGAGCTGAGATGACGGGTGAGGAAGTGCTTTACAAACTGTAAAGTGTTTGCCGGGGGCAGAATTAATCAAAGGGATGGCGACGTCAGAGGGTTCCCAGGGGAGCCAGCACCATGCGGTGCGGACCCACTAGAGGGGTGGGTGGTGAATGTGGGCAAGACACGGGCACAGGTGGTATCCTGGGACACAGGGAGCTGCAGCCCACGCAGGAGGCGAAGGCCCCACCAGGGGGCGCCTGGCGAAAGCAGACAGGAGTGATGTCCGCAGAGGTCACAAGGGAAAAGGAGGCCAGGCCGAGCTGGACAGGTCAAGAGGCTGCTGGTGGGGATGAGAGCAAGAGCCCACAGCTGTCAGGGCTGGGCAGACAGCCTACCTACGCTCCCCTGGCCTGGGACGCTCGAGTCAGGGGTTCACCGGGGACCCACAGGGGCCCTGGAGACCCCATCGGAGGTGGGGCCTGGCCTTGCTCTCCACGGGAGACGCGTGAGGTCTCTGTTCCTCGCTCAAAGTCTCCCTTTTCTCCCACTTGCGTTCCTCAGGCTGCAGCCCCAGCCAGGCCCCTGGCCTTCCCTTGTTGGGTCGGTGGCCGCAGTGGAGAGCCGAGTGCAGACACCTGGACTGGAATGGCTGTGCCGTGTGCCGGCCAGCACCCTTGAGCTTCCGCAGGGTCGGGGGAGGCAGGATGGGGTGAAGAGGGAAGACAGGGCTGGATCGTGAACTGAGGGTGCAGGAGGTGCAGCCACAACTAGGAAGAAGGCTGGGTTCAGGACGCAGAGCCAGGAAGAGCAAGTCCCCGATCTGATGGGCAGGGGACCAGGCGCCGCAGGTGGGAGTGATGTGGGGAGAGGCCCTGTGAGTCCAGGCGTGGGAGAAGAGCCCGTGCGCTACACCGTGTCCTGTCGGGCCCATGTGTGCCCAGCCTCCGCCCAGCAGCCTCAGGCCAGCTCAGCAAGGAAGCTGCTCTGGTCAGCTGGTCAGTCTGGGCCTGGACTTTCTCCAGGCTGATGAGATTAGCCAGGCGGATGTCAGAGGCCTGGACAGGCACTAATGAGGCCCATTTCCACTTCCAGGAAATGGACTCCAGACAGAAACCAGCTCGAGATGGGCAGGAGCTGAGAAGTCAGGTGAGCTCCCCCAACCCTCACCGCGGCCGTGCTGTGCTGGCGGGAGGAAGCCCGCCCGAGCCTGGCCAGCACCCTCTCCTGGACAGTGACCCCAGAAGACACGTAGCCTCCCATGCTCCTCCGTCCAGGCCCATGGACCCTCCGTCCTCCTGACCCTGGACACTTGGGCCTTGCCCTCCCCAGGCGGCCTCCCTCAAGGACCTCTCTCCTTCTGGACCCGCCTTTAATACAGGAAGCAACTATGGGGTCTAGCACCCTGTCCACGTTCCTCACCCTGGCCGCCTCACGGGTCAGCAGCTTGGGGTGACTCGATGTTAGCTGTCTTCATACCATCGAAGCCCCCCTCTTCCTAACCGTGGGTGCACCTCCTGCACCCCACTCATTTCTGAGCCTGTTGACTTATTTTATTTAAAAAAAAAAAGTCTTCATTGATTTTTAGCGAGGGGGGAGGAAAGAGGGCTAGAGAGATAGAAACATCAATTGGCTGCCTCCTGCACACCCCATCGGGCCCCGCCCACCTGGCCTGCGCAGGACTTCCTGGAGCCGCTCCTCACACTGCGCCTGCGCTCGGTGCAGCAGGAAGATCTGCTCCTCTTTGGTGATGACGTCATCTGCATCCACCTACCAGGTCGAAGGTCAGAGTGCAGGCCAGGCGGCAGCAGGTCCCACAACCATCCCTGAGGGACCCCCTTCCCAAGCGCTCACCCCAGAAAGTGGGAAATGGGCCTCACGTGGCTCCCACTGTACACGTGGGCAGCCACAGCTCCGAGGGGCACGGCTGCATCACCGGAGGAAAAAGGGGGCGGGGGTCCCTGTCTGCCCGCTAGTAACCTCGCCTGCCGCCGCCACTGAGAGTCTCGGTCTGGGCCGCTCCCCAGGGGGGCGTGAGAAATGGATGGAATGTCCCAGGCCAGATCCTCCCAGGATCGGCCGCATTTGGGATCCTGAGTGGGATGGAGTGAGCACAGGGCGTGCTGAGCTCTGGGGGAAAAGGCCCTGGATTCCTTCAAGTCCTGGCTCACGGGACTCTGGGAATCGCCAGCTTCCATCCCGACACTTTCCCCTGAGTGGTGGGGGCCTCAGCCCTCCCACCGTGCCGGCCCCTCGAGGGAGCTGGGCGGCCTGGCCGGGCGGAAGGGCCCCGGTGCAGGCTGGGGGTGGGAGGGCCGAGTCCCCACATCCCCGGCCCCATGGCTTCTCGGAAGCGGCCCGGTACCAGCAGGCCTGGTTCTGATAGCGCAGTCACAGCCGGGCCTTGCTCCGCCGCTGCGCCGTCTGGGCTCCCGCCCACCCTCTGAGACGCACCAGCTGTTTTCAGGAAGGGAACAGGAGCATCGGGGGCGCGGGTCTCCCCCCAGCCTCTGTTCCCCTGACTTAGGGTTGGGAAGGAGTCAGAGGATGAAGGCAGCGCCCTGGCTGGGAGCCGCTCAGGGAGACCCCCCCCACCACAGGAGCCCTGCAGGGGTAATGCAGCCCCTGAGACCCGGGGCCAGGACATGTCCCTGGAGCCCCAGAGCCCGGCTGTGTCCCCTCAGACTCCACAGGGCAGAGCTGGCCCCTTACATCCGCCACAGGCATCCCAAGGCCGGGCTGGGCCCCTGGGTCTGAGTGGGGCTTTGCAGGCCTGGGAACCAGCAGGAGGCAGGGAGGGAAGGGGCGGGGGGCTGGGGGTCAGGAGCTGGGCTGCGGGAGAAGTTAACTGACCCAGTCTCTTGGTGGCAGCAGCCAGGGCTTCCAGGGCCAAGGAGTCCCTGTTGGCTACGCGGGCCTCGGGCTCTGCTGGTCTCACTCAGGAAGGCCTTTGCGTGTGCGTGTGCGTGTGCGTGTGCGTGGGCGGTGTGTGCACTGGTGTGTGCCGCCTGTGTCCTCACATAGGGAGTGTCAGCGTGCATATGTAGGACGTGAGCCCGAGTGTCTGTGAACATGCCTGTGTACACGTGCTCTGGGCAGAGGCTGCTCGTCAATGTCCGTGGGTATCCGTGCTTCCGTGTCTCTGGAGTCTGAGGTGGACACTGAGAGCTCAGCTGGACTCTGTGCCCAGGGTCCCCGGGAAGGCTGAGCAGCTGTGTCTTTGCTGCTGCCCCCCACCTGCCAGCTATGGGGGAAGGGGCTGTGGGGCATGGGCTGGGGAGGGCCACTCTGGCCTGCCCGATCCAGGGGCTCCAAGGCCAACAGGAAGTTCCCTTTGTGCCTCTGGCACTGGGGATCCAGGCTGCTATGGGTCTGACCCCTGTGGAGCTGCCCACCCCCACCCCATCCTAGCACCCATTCTCGACCATTTATTGTTACAACTCATACTTCCATCAGTAGCCCCCACCACCGACTATCACCTTGGCCAACACCCCAACACAACCACCACCACCACCACCACCACCACCTTGGCCAACACCCCAACACAACCACCACCACCACCACAGACTATCACCTTGACTAACACAACCGTCTACCACCATCACCACCATCACGGTCACTAACTGCCATTACTACCAGTATCACTACCACCAGTGCTATCAGCACCACCAGCACCACCACTGCCATCACCAATGTTGCCACCAGCCTCCTGGTCACTGTCAGCCCCCTTTGCCAGAGTCTCATCCTTACCCCTCACTACCCACCTCTCTTCCCACCCCCTTTCCTTCTGCCCACCTCCATCTCTCCAGACAGACAATGCACTGCATTCTCCCAGCTGCTGGGAGCTCCATGGGACCGGCTGCAGCGTCCACGGGCCCCAAAGACGGGCACCCCGGCCCTCCCCACGGACACCCGAGCCCACGGATACGGCTGAGGGTCAGGGCTGAGGCCTAGACTAAAGGTGTCAGTCGTGGGTTGAAGAGTGCTGGTTTGGCAGACAGACAGGTGTGCTCGCTGGGGGAGGGCCGGGCACTGGCCCTGCTGCTCTTGGCTGCACTCTCTCCCCAGCCAGAGAAGGCACCCCCTTTGCTGGAGCCTCGTTTTCACGGTGGAGCTGGCATGCACAGAGAGGGAAGGTGTGTGCTCCCAGCCCCACAGCCTCCAAACTCCTTCATTCACCCACAGCGACAGCAGCCCCACCTCTGGCCTCCCTGTATGTGCGACCCATTTCTGTCACCCAGTCACGGCAGAACTGCCATTGTAGCCAGAGGGATTCAAGCCTGAATCAGGGCAGCACTTTCCTGAGGAGCTGAGGGCAGTGCCACGGAGTGGAGGAGGGCAGCCACACCAGGGCACTCCCACCTGCCAGGAGGGCAGCTCCCTTGCCA